ATATATATATATATATATCATAAGAATAAAAATTTCTTTATTTGTTTAAAAGAGTTTCATTTCATGTTACCAATTTGATAAAAAAAAATTTCTTTAATTCATCAAAAAGAATTACACCAAATAAAAATAATATTTAATTTATTCTTTTCTTTTCCATAAATGACACAAAAGTATAGAGAGAATAATAGTTTCTTCACCTTTGAATAAGAGAAGGGAAGTGACTTATCTTTATAACATAAGAATAAGAAATTCTTTGCTTATTTGGTTAAAAGAGTTTAATCTCATGTCATCAATTTGACCAAGTTATTTCTTTTTAAATCCATCTAAAAGTACTATATTGGATAAAATTTATATTTAATTTATTTCTTTCTTTTTCATAACTGACACGGAAGTATTGAGAGAAGAATGATTTTATTTGCCTTTGAATGAGAAAAGAAAAGTGACTTATCTACATAGCATAAGAATAAAGATTTCTTTGCTTGTTTGGTTTAAAAGAGTTTCATTCCATGTCATCAATTTAGCCAAGATCTTTTCTTTAATCCATCTAAAAGAACTACATTGAATAAAAGTCATATTTAATTTATTCTTTTCTTTTTCATAATTGACACAAAAGTATTAAGAGAAAAATGGTTTCTTCATCTTTGAACAAGAGAAAGGATGAGGGTCATCAACATAGCATAAGAATAAAGACTTTTTTACTTGTTTGGTTTAAAAGAGTTTCATTCTATGCCACCAATTTGTCTAGGATATTTTTTTTAATTCATCTAAAAGAACTGCATTAAGTGAAAGTCATATTTAAATTATTCCTTTATTTTTATAATTAACACAATAATATTGAGATAAAAATGGTTTATTTGCCTTTGAAAGTGAGAAGGGAAGTGACTCATCAACATAATGTAAGAATAAAGACTTTTACTTGTTTGGTTTAAAAGAGTTTCATTCCATACCACCAATTTGGTCAATATTTTTTCTTTAATCCATCTAAAAAAATACGCTAAATAAAAGTTATATTTAATTTATTGTTTTCTTTTCATAACTGACATAAAAGTATTGAGAATAATTGTTTCTTCACCTTTGAATGATAGAAGGGAAGTGGCTCATCAACATAGCATAAGAATAAGGACTTCTTTGCTTGTTTGGTTTAAAAGAGTTTCATTCTATGCTACCAATTATATATGCCAAGATTTTTCCTTTAAACCAGCTAAAAGAATTGCATTAAATAAAATTTATATTTAATTTATTTCTTTCTTTTTCATAACTGACAAAAAGTATTGAGAGAAGATTGTTTTATTCACCTTTAAACAAGAGAAAGGAAGTGACTCATCAACATAGTAGAAGAATGAAGACTTCTTTACTTGTTTAGTTTAAAAGAGTTTCATTCCATGCCACCAATTTAGTTAAGATCTTTTCTTTAATTCATCTATAAAAAAATTTGTACTAAATAAAAATTATATTTAATTTATTGCTTTCTTTCTATAACTAACACAAAAATATTGAGAATACTAATTTATTCACCTTTGAACAAGAGATGGGAAGTACCTCTATCATAGTATAAAATATAAGGATTTTTTTACTTGTATGGTTTAAAAAAGTTTTATTCCATATCTCTAATTTAGCTAAAAAAAATTCTTTAATTCATTTAAAAGAACTATATTAAATAAAAAAATCATATTTAACTTATTCCTTTCTTTTTCATAACGGATATAAAAATACTGAAAGAAGAATGTTTGTTTCGCGTTGAAATAAAAGAAGAAAAGTAAATGATCAACATAGCATACTTCTTTTTCTTGTTTGATTTAAAAGTTTCATTCCATTTCATCTAAAAGTATGGACCTCAATCTTTAATCCACCGGCTCAAAGCTTCTAGAACACTGATTTAGGTCCAACATTAACATTACTAGAATTTCTCTTATTACATACGACTTTTCCTGCGAATTTTTCAAAAAAATTCGCAAGAAACGTTATTTCTGCAAATTTTCCTGTGAAATTTTATTTACAAGTAATATCTTCGTGGATAATATTTTTTTGGGAATTTTAAAATTAAAGAAATTACTATAAATTCTGTCAATAATTTTTCAACTTTCAAATGCTCACAATGACTTCATCCGAAGCATTTGTTTCCATGCCTCCAACATGTGACACATAATCTTTTAAATTTTAAGATTGTAGATTATAAGTCTAACACTCAACCATATAAATCAACTTGTAAGGTAAGTGTTGCCCCAACTTATATATTCTTTAATTTCCTTATTTTCAATCGATGTGGGACTTGAAGTTTTTTTAAAATATTAAACTTATAAATTTAAATATATTTTTTTTATTTTTCCTTCGGATTAAAATTTGCAGGAAAATCCGTAGAAAAAGTTACTTGCAAAATTTTTCTACCATTTAGTAAACATTACTTACGAATTTATTTTTACAAGAAAATCTGCAAAAAACAAAATAAAATTCTTACAATATTTTCTGCAAATTTTTACTATGGAAAAAAATTTCTATAATTATTAAAATTGTAGCAAAATTTATAAGAAATATCTATAAATTATTTTTTGCAAATAAATTTGTAAAAAAAATTTGCGAACATTTTTTTGCAAGAAAATTTGTAAGAAAATGACATTTTTCTAGTAGTGTAATGAGATATATTATATCATTAAATGATATATGTCAGATAAATTTTTTTGTAATGATAACAGCTGCAGTTAAGAATTACCGAACAATAAACTGAATCTGTTTGATGTTACCCTTGATGTCACATTTCAGTGTTGATGGTGAGTGATGAAGACCAGCAGTGTGTGCCTGTATATATGCCGATGATGAAGATGACTGAGAAAGGAAAATGATGATGATAAGAACTCGAAGGAGAATGAGAGTATATATAGTGGTGATAAGAGCTCTGATGATGCGTGTATGCTAAGAGAATTAGGTATGGTAACATGTATAACTAGGATACTGTGCGTGCTGAACAATAAACTACTAAAAAATTATCAATCACTTTTTATTTTATTTTATTTTTATTTTTCTTTTTTTGCTTTTTTGAGTTCAATAGACAGAGGATAGATTTTTTTTTTTGGTAGGTTGGGAAAATTAAAAAACAAAAAACTGAGAGAGACTAATAAGACCCAAGGGGGGAACACCCATCCCGCCTTACTGGCTCAAGCACAAATGTTGGTGGCTTATGCCATTCTATATAGCCCCCTGATTCAGAAACACCCCATCTCGCTAAAATGTGTGCTACTTTGTTGATCTCCCGAGGAATGCGGAAAAGAGAAACCTGCCAATCTCTAGATAGCAGCTCCTGAAGGATAAGAACTAAATCAGCATGCTCATGCCATCCTCTAATGCGATCCCGAGAGAGAGAACTAGCCTCAATAGTCCCCATGCAGTCTGTCTCACAGAGAATGTTCCTGAAGCCCGCATCCCTACAGATTGGTAGACCTTTATCCATGGCTAAAAGTTCCGATCTAAGCGGATCACCATTACGGTGAGAATTTGCGAATCCAAGAATTCACCGTCCCACGCAATCCCTTATATTACTCCGCCAGTACCCATCGTCTGAGTCAGAGGACGCCAACTACCGTCTATATTAAGCTTCACATTTGGATGCTCTGGGGGCACCCAGGATGTATGATCCTCCCAAAGCTTACGCTGTTGTAGAAGCACAACGTTTTCTGCCACATTAGAGTAGATCTGGCTAACAACATATCGTGTTGTCCATTGTGCATTACTTAGTATCTATAATTCTGTTTCACTATTGTACAACTAAAAAAAATTGTACTCAGTAAAATTTATATTTAATTTACTTTTTTTTATAATTGACACACAAAAAAAAAGTATTTAAAGAATAGTGATTTTTCCACCTTTGAATGATAAAAAAAGGAAGTAAATGGTAAACATATAACATAAGAATAAAAGCTTCCTTATTTGTTTGGTTTAGAAGATGCAATCAATTTGATAAAAATATTTTTTTTAATTCATCAAAAAGAATTACATCAAGTAAAAATAATACTTAATTTATTCTTTTCTTTTTCATAACTGACACAAAAGTATAAAGAGAATAATAGTTTCTTTGCCTTTAAATAAGAGAAGGGAAGTGAGTTATCTTTATAGTATAAGAATAAGGATTTCTTTGCTTATTTGGTTAAAAGAGTTTAATCCCATGTCATCAATTTGACCAAGTTATTTTTTTTAATCCATCTAAAAGTACTATACTGAATAAAATTTATATTTAATTTATTTCTTTCTTTTCCATAACTGACATAGAAGTATTGAGATAATAATGATTTATTTGTCTTTGAACGAAAAAAGGAAAGTGACTTATCTACATAATATAAAAATAAGGACTTCTTTCCTTGTTTAGTTTAAAAGAGTTTCATTCCATGTCATCAATTTGGCTAAGATCTGTTCTTTAATCCATCTAAAAGAACTACATTGATCAATAAAAATAATTTAATTTATTCTTTTCTTTTTCGTAATTGACACAAAAGTATTAAGAGAAATGTGATTTCTTCATCTTTGAACAAGAGAAAGGATGAGGCTCATTAACATAGTATAAGAATAAAAACTTTTTTACTTATTTGGTTTAAAAGAGTTTCATTATATGCCACCAATTTGTCTAAGATATTTTCTTTAATCCATCTATAAGAACTACATTGAGTGAAAGTCATATTTAAATTATTCCTTTATTTTTATAATTGACACAAAAGTATTCAGAGAAAAATGGTTTCTTTGCCTTTGAACAAGAGAAGGGAAGTGACTCATCAACATAATGTAAGAATAAAGACTTTTTTACTTGTTTGATTTAAAAGAGTTTCATTCCATGCCACCAATTTGCTCAAGATTTTTTCTTTAATCCATCTAAAAGAATTATGCTGAATAAAAGTTATATTTAATTTATTATTTTCTTTCCATAACTGACACAAAAATATTGAGAAAATAATGATTTCTTCGCCTTTGAATGAGAGAAGGGAAGTGACTCATCAAAATAGCATAAGAATAAGGATTTCTTTACTTGTTTGGTTTAAAAGAGTATCATTTCATGCCACCAATTATGCCAAGATCTTTTCTTTAATCCATCTAAAAGAATTACACCAAATAAAAGTCATATTTAGTTTATTTATTTCTTTTCCATAATTGACATAAAAAGTATTGAGAGAATATTGGTTTATTTTCCTTTGAACAAGAAAAAGGAAGTGATTCATCAATATAGTATAAGAATGAAGACTTCTTTACTTGTTTGGTTTAAAAGAGTTTTATTCCATACCACCAATTTAGTCAAGATCTTTTCTTTAATTCATCTAAAAAAATTGTACTGAATAAAAATTATATTTAATTTATTGTTTTCTTTTCATAACTAATCCAAAAGTATTGAGAAAAATAATTTCTTTGTCTTTAATGTTGTATTTAAAAGGGCAATATATTTCTAAAGAAATACTATAAAAAAATAGATAGTAGAATAGGAAAGTAAGTAATAAATATTTTTGAAAACTAAAATATCAATCATTTTCTTAAGTCTCATGCAAAACCTTAAATGACTATGAATAAAAAACGGAGGGAGTAATTATTTTAGGAGCAATTGAAAAATTGTGACATGCCAATCTTCCGGCCATCCATGATTGAAATCATGTACAACTGACACCAGCAAATTGATCTGTTAAAAGAAAAACATGAAATGAGCTATTAGATTTATCACATTTGTCTGTAAGCTACAAATTCACAAAGTTATACCCATCCAAGAATAAGAAACAACTACAGCGTTCTTACCTCTGATTAATGTTTGCCAGAAGACACATTATTTCTTCCATGTCAAACCAACACTTACAATTTCACATCAATATCTACTTAACCAGTCAATATCATTTTTTCTCTCTCACAATATTAACGCTTCTAACAATGGCATGATCTGACATCTATTGCTGATTGAAGTCCTAAAACGGCAAAGTTCTCATTGGGGATCAGAAAAATCAAGAATCAACCCAACTATAACCTGTTTGCTTCTTGACATTCTTATATTCCATCTTCACTCTCACATTCTCAGCATCATCCCATTGTCCTAAATTAGCATACATATTATATAACAACACATACGGAGCTGAACTTTCTGGTTCAAGTTTGATCAAAGCATCAGCTGCTACTAGGGCCAATTCTACATTATTATGCACTCTACAAGCCCCTAGTAATGCACCCCACACAGCCTTATCTGGTTTAAGTGGCATGGTATTTATCAAATCCATAGCTTCCTGAAGCTGCCCCTGCCGTCCCAAGATGTCCACAAGGGAGGCAAAGTGCTCAACCCGTGGCTCAATACCACAGTCATTAACCATGGATTTGAATTGCCTCCTCCCTTCTTCAACTAATCCTGCATGGGCACATGCATTCAATACCGAAATAAAGGTTATGTAGGTAGGGTGAATTTTAAGCCTTTTCATCAGTTTGAAAAGTTCGAGCGCTTCTTCAGCTAAGTATATATATATATATATATAAAATAAAAAATAGAAATAGCAAAAGACATGGTTTTTAATGTGCACTTTTTTGCTTATGTTTATGAAATCATTTCAATAAATATTTATTATTTTAAATAAGGCTACAACTTTTTTTTAGACAAATTTGAAAAGGCCTTCCTCATTGAAATCATATATTTACTTTCCAAATTTGCCTAAGGATAAAACTGAAAACTTATAATTTCCCCTGCATTAGGGCGAAACCAACAGTTCTAACTTCTAAGCATTAGACAATGATAAACCAAAATGCTCCGATATCGAGGCGCTCATTCAATTGATATAATCCCGTTTCTAAGTCACAGTGGGGAAATTTCCTATTAATAAAAAAATGTGGGGAAAAGTTATCCCCTTGACTCACCCTTTTGCTAGTAGCAAAAACTAAATAATATCATTCAAGTTTTGAGGGAAAAATAATAGATAATTGACAAAAATAAAATATACTGCAAGAAATAAAAATGACTTATTAAAATTGGCTCATAATTCATTGAAAAGGGATAATAGTATTTGGTCGTGATACAACCACTTTAAGCACAAGTTGCATTTTTTCTCTATTAAAAGAATGAACCTTGTTAGCAAAATTGTTGACTGCCTTCCTTATAAAATTCCATCACCTCATACGCAGGCAAATCCAGATTGTAGATATTGTCATCGTAACCTCCTGCTCTTGGGGCAACCTGAGCTTTCTCTAGTGATGGCCAGAGCCCAGAGGTACTCTCCATTCTTGGTCCAATGCCATGACAATCTACATCACTAAATTGATGGAAGGGTTGAGATTTGAAGTCTGATCTCCTTTAAGGAAAAATTGAGCGAAAAATGATCCTTAGAATAAGCACCAAACTATTATCAGTTCACTGAAATGGAGAAAAAAAATAAGACTATGCTGAATAATTTGTGCTAAAATGGTAACTTAACATTGAAAAATTTAGTATCACAATAACAAATGCCCCTGAAAGACAACCTTATTGATGCACAAAGTAAATATGAATGTAATCATCTCGATGCTTCAAAGAATCAAATTACTAAGCTTATATATTGGTTTATCGTTAGAAATAATTCTAGTAAAAGCTGCCTCTGGCTAAATACAGGAAGAAATACTCCGAGTAAACTTAGCTTTGTTAAGTCAAATTTTCGACACACTTTTTCAGTGCCAAATAGTCACAAGGACCATTTCATGGCAGAAAGACTTTTTGCATACAGGAATTGAGTGACACCTACATTTGGAAAACTCCAAAAACAAATATTATTGTTAATAGTAAATCCTACTCTAGATTCAGTATCAATATAGATTGTTGTATGTTACATTAGCAAAAATAATTAAGTCAGTCCCTAAAACTCTATTTTGCATGATGTTTCCCTTTCTACATTCTTTTCTTTCTAACTGGCAATGCAATTGAGGAAGAAATTGTCATTCCAAAAGATGTTAAGCATGGGATTGACATCTTGATTTGAT